CGTCTTGAGTCATGAATTTCTTGGCCAACAGTGTACCAACGGGTACAACCCAACTAGATGGTTTTCCCGCTCCCGTGTGACAAGATTTCTTTCCCTCCAGGTCTTCTAGGGTTTTGATCGTACTTTTGTTTTTTACGACCGCTACTGCATAGTAATAGGGAACACCAACCTCATCATAAGTTTCAGCAACCACAGGAGTCATCATGTAATCTTTACCTAGGAATATTAAATCAAGTCGTAGCTTCCGTCATCAATCCGCGAAAAAAAAAAAAAAAAAAAACATTGCCTGACCTTTCACGCAATCTCCAATGTTTGTTGAATATGGAATCAGCCGGGTAAAGTAACAAGATTAAACAGACTCACCTTATAAGCAAGATTAATCATAATGGGCTTTCTTATCACAAACTTTTCCTTAACAATGACAATTATACCTGCACGAGATATTTCTCCTCCGTCCAACGTAATCAGATCAGCCTCTCCGTTTTTGATTTTTTTCATACAATTAATTGTACTATTATCCTGAACACAACTCGCGTTAACATTGGAATCTTTCCCCAGTTTTTCCAGAACAGTCTGAAACTCGCTGCATTTTTGCTGTTCTTTATCAGAAACTGTGCACCATCTCATTTGATAGGCTTGGCCTTGACCTGGTGATAGGTAAAACAAGATAAAACAAAATCATTTAGCTACCGTATTTTTCGGTTATAAGGCGCAGCATTTTTTCAAAGATATTTCGCCTGATCACACTTGAACTGTCTCAGGTTCGGGGTGCGTCTTCAAACTTTGAGAAGGCCAGAAAGTAACATAGGAAAGCTGTTAGTGTGTACAAACACTTGTCGTTTGAAGTTATTGATTTACAATGGTAATTAAAATGAGTTGAGTTTAAATAATATTTTAAATCGGAAACGAGATTTTAACAGTCTCTGTTCGATTTTAAATCACAAGCATGATGTCTGACGCCAATGCCACGAAAAGCTAATGCGATTCGCGAATTAATCGCGCTGCCGAGAGCCAATCAGATCACAAGCACCACAATGGATGTACTAAAAAGGAGGAATTTGTTACGATTGTTTTCATTCAGGTACTTTTTACTGTCCTTTTGGTACTGTTTGTCTACAATACTTTTGTTCGGTAAATTCGTTCCAAGGGTCTTATCTGTCCAGGCACGTTTGTTTCCAGGAATGAAGTTATGTATTATGACGTAGATAATCCTTTTAGCTCTCACGATCTCATTGTTAATTCTCCCCTCTAACTGCTACTTGTAACTTGGTGAAAAAGTTACGAGAATTTTGCGTTAGATCAAGACAGCAACTACTGATAAGCTCAAGTATTTCCATTACCTATTTGCTGGATAATGTATGAATATTATAGGGAGAAGTTACATTTTTATCACTTCCGGGAGTTAAGGGGTTAAGGTGAAATTAGCTGCAGAGGGTACCATGCTTGGTGGAAGGCGGCAAAGACTCTAGACCCGTCCCTTTTTAACCCTCTTTATTCTATTTCCTGTGTTCTTAACCATTTCACGATAGTTTTTCGAGCGAACCCGTAAAATTTTCGTGACATATGCAAATAGTTTATAGCTCTGTCCACGCCGCTAGCTGTAACCTTGTTCTGATCACGTGCCCTTTTTTTGGGTGTGGGGGTGGAGGGGCGGTGAGGGGGTAACGCATTCAGCAAAATACCTTCCACCAAGGATACATGTGAATACACGCAAAGCCGTGCTTAAGCAAGGGAAACCTCGGGAGCGTAACAACATGATTATCTCTTTGATTTTGTCCTTGTAGTCCGGTAGCAGAGACCGGAAAATCGGGGTTTCGTTCAACCCACGAGCTAGAAAAGGTGTGACAGTAGATTTTATTAGACCAATACCTCTTGAGTAACGTTCACTACGTCGTGAAGTCGAAAAGTGGATCAAAGAGAGAGGTGGGTTTTGCTACGTTACCCCTTCGTCGGGGTGAAAACGAGGTTGTAAAGTGCATGACATTTGTTTGCTCCTTTTTTAAACACCCTTATCAACATTTGCGGTCCAAATACCCAGCTAGTTCAAAATACTTGCTTCATTGGTTTTTTATCATGAAGGGACGTCACGTGACTCATCGCGTGACATGAAAAATCCCTAAGAAACCCTTCAAAATATTAAATATCCTTGTCTTTTATAATCAAGTATAAAATTTGATTCTCGGCCTTTCTTACCACAAACCTTTATCATTTGGCTGTCCAAAACAATCACTTCACCATTTACAGGTATTTTTTTCTTTGTTTAATGATGGAAGATGAATGCTCGGACAATTAAATGACAAGACATGAACACGCTTCTAGTTTAAGATGATAGTGTTAAAGTTTTCAGGCTATCACTACTGTGAATCCTTGAAGAACTAACATCAATTCTTTTCAGAAAAACGGTTTACATGTAGTAACATAAGGCAGTCTTGAACAAGTTGTCCTCTCAATTGAGCGCACCATCCTGTTTCAAACAGTACATTAGGGTTTTCAAGAGTAATAAACCATGTATGTGGTTAGCCCTTTAACTCCCAGTAGTGATTAACAAGTAACTTCTCCTTACAATATTCATCCACTATCCAGCAAACAATTGATGAGAGTACCCAAATGTATCAGACAGAAGTTTTTATCTTGATCCGACACCAAATTCTTCCAACTAATTTACAAGGAAATGTGTTGCAGCAAGGGAGGGAGAATTAACAATCAGATCCTGGGAGTTAAAGGGTTGAGGAGGCACCTAGCTATAGCTGGTCATAGTCACCATTTTCAAAGTCACTATCAAAATACAGCAGTGTGCACTGAGGGTTCCGGGCAGGCTTCTTCATCTGCCATGCAGGACTCTGTACAGGGAAGGCCGGTTCTAGAACAGGAACAACTTGCATAACACAATCTTCTGCATTGGCATGTGGTTAGTTCAAGCAGACTTCTTGGTGCTGGGTCCTTGGTCATCAGGACAGGTTTCAACAATTCACCTTCTATTTACCAACTCTTACTTTCTGGTGGCCGTAGTTGCTACATCGCTTTCAAAGCATTCCTCTATACATATGCCTGACAATTAGCTCGCTTGATGCGTTGAGTTAAGGCGTCCGTTGTAGGGGGTAGTACTTCGCCTCGCTGTTTCTTTTGGCAAAACATTACATACCTACACAAAGATAACCAGAATTCAGATTTTAAAGAATATATGTACACCTACAATTATATTTATACCGTTTCACTCTTTGCAAATCATATGTTAATATTCTAAACAGGTTTCTCTAATACATTTACCGCAAAATCTTGTAATAAAACTGAACAAGTATTTTGTAGAGTGAAATTCCGTGAGTTTTCCATGACCTTGAAGGACCTTTATTCCCAGACCATTTCCTGACTTGTGGAAAGATAAAGTAGAAACCTGTACTTGAGCCACATTGCTTATCAAGCCAGAGTTTATCTTTAGCATGAAGCAACTAGAGGCCAAACCAAGGTCACTCCTAAAACGGAGAATAACATTCGATGACAGCGGGCTCTCGTTTGACTAGGCGATTCTTAGGTTCTCTTCAGGCAATAACAGCACAATGAAAGGAACCATCATTGTTTTAAAAAGGTTTTCTTACAAACTGAGTATTGTTCAGTGATAAGAGATCGTAAATTAGACAATAATGTTCGAATGATAAACAGAAAGATTGGAAACATCGTCAAAAACACAAAATGGAGTTTGGCGACTGCCTGACCGGTTATTCAAGACCACCCCCAGCACTTTTTTCCTGCAGTTTGCATCACGGTAATGAACAGATGCATCGGAAGAAAATAGATTGAAGAACCGCTGCAAAATTTTTTGAACTCCGAAAAAATTCACGTACTGACCTAAACTTAAAGGCAAAGTTGAAAAACATACCTCAACCAAACGTGTCATTTCAACTGTCCTGTTACTTCTGTGCCCAAAATTTCGCCTCTATCACTCCTTGATGACCACCATCTTGAGTACACGCGAAGATCAGTATCTATTCATTAATTTCCAATCGAATTATTGGTACATACGGCGAGTAATAACGGATAAACAGTGAACATTTCGAATTGGGTACTAAAATCTTCGATTGACGAAATGGTCGCCATATTGTGTCGTAATAACTATCCCGAACTAACAACAAATTCACATACGTATCTAAATAGCGCCATTGTAGCTAGATTTACATTTCTGACGTCTGTGAAAAATTAATTGTATCATACTCTTGCAATTTTCTCCCCCTCTCCATACGAAGAATCCAAATCAAAGATCGAAAATGAGTGATTTTCAATAGTTTTTGCTGAAATACCCCGTGACATTTGACCACATTTTACTTTTGGGGTTTCAGTCATAACATCTGGTGTAATGAAACTGTCAGCGGAAGTTTAACATCTTATCTTACAGATCGTCTAAGGGCATATTACTCATTCTTTCAGTGCAAAATTTCGGATTCTAATTGCTTTGAAATTCCTTTCTCCACCATAACTGAGCTCATAATTCTTTCCTTTAGCTCGCTGAATTTCTTAATATTTCTTTAGCATTGAAGCAGGCGTCATTCTTGTCTGAGATGGGATATTTGAGACAAGGTCACACAAATCAAGTTGAAATGGGTGCGATTCGATCCGTCTCAAGTCTGGTTTAGGCAAATACTTGAAAATGAGATACTCAAAATTTCAATTGTATCAGCGCGATGCTCTCACGTACGCTGGGAAATCATAAAACGGATAATGCCAGACGTTATTTTCTGCAATTGGATGATTTCATGCACGCGGCTGTAGAGAATGATAAACCTTTCTAAGCCTTTCATCGCAACCAATATTGTATTGATGATAAGGAAGTGAATAATTAAAATGATTAAGTAATCTACTAGCAGCTGCGAGGCATTCTTAAAACGAATCTGTTCAGTAAATTTACATTGATTGAAAACAGGAATTTCAAACAACAGAAGGTCGATGAATACTGTTGATAGGTGTGTAATCAAAAGCGTTCGGAAATCTTAAAATTTCCGCGCAAGGAAAGGTATTGATACAAATGTAAACCATCACTGATGCTCAAAATAGATCGTCACAGCATTCGCTCCTCAGCTGAGTACAAAACAAAACACCACTTCGAACTCATCCTAGGATTTCAACTTACCAAGCAAAGCTACAAGAGTGCTGAGTAGAGTTAATGATCCAATCATGATACGTACACTGCACTGCAAGAGTTCTTCAGTCCTGCGATCCCGACTAAAAATTTTCTCTCGCTCCCCTCTTACTTTATATTCCCGGATCCCGGCCTTGTAATACTCTCAATCCCGGATCCCGAAAAACCTATCGGGAACCCTCCTTTAAGCTACACAGTCATGAATGGGTTCCCCTTCGACGCAATCTTTTGACAAGTTGTTACGTGGCGATCTCTGTAAGAGCGCTTCAGGGCATTCAGCATCGGAACAAAGGTTTCCCTCAAAATTTGCCCAAAAAATTATCTTTAGTAGCAAATAAACAAAACCACATTAGTTTATAGAAATACGTAAAAATAAAATTTTTATAGCTCTCAATAGTCAAAGCTGCAAAAGGTCATAATGATATGTAAGGTGTATAAAGAGCATTAAAAAGCATTTCAATTTTGATATTCGTTTATTCGGAGGTTCATCATAATTTATTTAAAAACACTCGCTAGACAGCTTTCTGAAATTAATCAAAAGTACTTCTTCGTTCCTGGTTGACATTGCTCAAGTCCAGACCAGACCATTGAAAACTCTACTTGATTTCTTCGAATAAGATGTTTGGTGGCAGAAAAATATAAAAACTTCTTGTACTTACTAAGTTTCTTCGCCGTGGTGACTTCAAACTTTAAGCGATTTTGCTAGCGTGACAGCCGAATTATGCAAATTAATTCATTGAGCAAACACCGACTGTTTTATACAACTAGCTTAATATATCTTAGATTTTAACCATTTTTAGTTGAAAAGATAGCAGGAAAGAGTTTCTAGACCACACTGATTGATATTCTAAATATTTTAAAAGGCCAAAATTGACAAATTTTACTATCTAGTGACTACAGACGTCAACAACAACGTATCGAATATCAAAATTTGAATAGCACTGGATCAACATTTCAATGGCAAACGTTTTTTTTTTAAATTTGGCTTTTGTTATGTCATATTTAAGTTCTGACAGCTTAAGCTATTCAAAGCTGTATGAAAATTTCAGATCCAAACCACAGGATTTTATCCAGTGTAACCAGCGATAACAGCACATACTGAAATACACCGTGACCAGTGACTCTGTCACGCAATTGAACTGTGTAATTATCATAAACTACCTCTCTCATCTAAATAAAGCAGCGATAACATCGTCTTTTGGCTCAGAATTCTTGTCGGCAGGAATAAGAGAAATTTTGTTTGTGCAACTGTTTATATGACAGTTTCTATTGAGAACTTTAGAGAGTTCTCGTGGAAAAGGACCCCACGTTTCTTGCGGAAATAAATTATTTCGTTGCGTGTCACCTCATTTTTCCAAAATTAGCCACATGTACGTTGTAAAGCGCGTAGTTTTATCAAATGTGATTCAATTACCTCTCTCGGTACTGGTTTGTTTGTGATTGATGACACTTAATTCTTCAAGCGGTATTCACGATAAGATGTCCTGTTTTCGTCCGCGCTCCTCAGAAACTTCGTGCTGTGACTCACGAGGAGTTCCAGGTTTGTTTAACTAGCCTCAGTGTACTGATTCAGTAGAGAGTCATCTCCCCTTAATCCATTTGTCAAAAGAGAGTGTCACGGAAGGAGAATTTATCCTAACAAGGGCTGGCCTGTTTGATGTAGAAGACTCAGTTATGGCAAAAATGTGGGCTTGCGCAAAGCATAGGCACACTTAAGGGAAGTTCTGGCGCCAAAGATCAGCGTGCTAGTATTCGACACACTCTGGTAGCGATTCCAAGGGGGCAACGAGCAGGTATTTTGTCAATTTGGAAACGTTAAAGGGCCTTTGTAAGATGTACGGCGTTCTTGTACAAGCAGGTTCAGGTAGGAGCAAGTGATTTCAAATAAGTGGCTCATTCCAACCAGTCTCTACCGTTTTCTCCCCAATTGCTCGTTCGTATATTAATCCACTTTTTCCTACGTCCAGTTATTTGTATCAACTACCGCAACAAGCACAATGCCTCTGTGAAGGAAATGCATTAGGTCCCTTTGGAATCCACTGAGAAAGAAGCAAGTGATTCTTGCAATTATGTGAGGTAAAAGGGTTTGTGTGAATAAAAAGCGTTTGATATTGATGCATGCGGTTGTGTACTTAAGCCAAGATACATAACCTTTTTCCAATAAAAAATTGTTTTTTGGGCGGTAATTGTCAACAAGTAACCTAAGTAATAATCATGTCTTGCCTGTATCGAGGATCTCGAGGTACTTGCCTTTGGTCACGTTAATCGCAAGACGCACGTCAAGACATATCTGTTTGTATTGATTCGGTTTTTGTTGATATTTTGTAAACTACAAAAAAGATGTTCCTAGTGCTAAAACAGTTAGCCTGCCTAAAAGGCCTGTAGCAAGCATCTGAGAAAACAAACACCATGGCTTTTTCTCGAGTGACTTCTTGTTCGTACGTTCTAGTTTTAATCACTCGCGCCCAGTTGACTTTGAGAGCCTGTTGCCCAGCTTATGGGTTAACATTCATCTGAAACTTAGCATCTTTTACCGAGGGCCAAGCAAAGATACTGCCCTAGAAAAGTTCAAACGGGCTATGAACTCACCTATTACACCGAGTTCTTTCGGGCTATCCCACAGCATCAATGATGAAATGCGTACTCCTTCAGCCGTGTTGGCGCTTGACGACAGCACAGACATACAGGATTTCAGACTAGCGAGACGAAATGTCCAAGATCCAGTTCAAGTCTTCAATGCATGCATTGATAGCCTCAGCGATACTGTACAAAAGCCCAGGATTACATATTTGGAGTCCCAAGCAGATTGTTGGGAAAAATGGTCTTTTCCTGAAAAATCTGAATCTGTTAAAAAAGCTGGGGAAGCGTGCCAGCTGGTGTGCGATGTCATGGCTCCAGGAGATGGTAAAGCGTTATTCCAGGCGGTCGTTGACCATGAGCAGCTGGAACAGAAGTGCAAGACAGTTATTGATGTTGGCCTTCAAACCCTTATGATCGCTTATCAGAATACTCTCACAAAATCACTAGACTCAAATACTGAGTATTTATCGGCGCTAATAGATTCTCAGCCAACGAACTTAAACGCATACATCCGCCATTTGAAAACCTCTCCGATAGACAAATAAAGAAAGCAAGAGCACAGGCGAAGTTTGAGGAGCCTGGAGTGCCTATTGAAAAATCCCGCATCACAGAATCCGTATACATCAGCGTCAGCTAAGCCACCTCTTAGAGTTCACTATGAGGCCACATTACCATCAAGACGTAGCCTACGGTACTTGCATCATCAAACTTGAGGGCGGTGAAGAGTTTGTTACACCTAACGTGTTGCACACATCATTGATCAATACATGGACCATTGCAAAGAAACTGGATTTCAACCGATAAGTAAACTCACGATGTAGAGAGTACTTGAAGTTCAAGAGGCCACACAGAGGAAATCATGGCGGGATCTAGACAATACAGCAGCTGAGGGAGTGGATGGTTTTAAGGATTTTTCCTAAGTTATAGACGGACTGGAACACGTGGGAGCAGAAAAGGATTGGTGTAAAGAAGTTCGGAAGAGGCTTCAGGAAAGCAAGTTGTATTTGAAGACTAAATACCGTAATCACTGCAAAGATGATGAAAGCAAATGCGCCGATCACTGTATGTTCTTTGCACTGAGCGATGCTGGTGACACTGACTTTCAGAGAGCATGCAGTCACAGTCCGTGTGACTGCATACTTTCATTCTTCATGCTGCATACTGCATATGAAGTGCGAGGATTGTGAGAAGCTGAAAAGTGTTCTTGAAGAAGTAAAAGGTGCTATTTCTAAGTACACAATGCAGTTGGGTAAGGTTCAAGCGGAAGACCGTCTGTATGAAGCAAACAATGCTGCCGCTAAGATCTTAGAATGGAAAGGGCATATCCAAGCGGCAAATTCTTGATTCTTTGAAGGGAGATGAAGCATTTATAGTAGTCGACTGAGCAATGAAGTTCATAGCCATGAAGTTCCGGGAAAAGCAAGCAGAATGGTTTGCCAAGAGAGGAATCAATTGGCATGTGAGTAGAAAGCCTAGAAGTCACCTGCTACGTACACCTTCTTAACAGCTGTAAACAAGACTGGTTTTCAGTGCTGTCAGTCCTTGAAAATCTCTTTGTCACCGTGAAGTTACAAAATCCAGGAATAAGAAAGGCTTTTCTAAGATCAGAGAAAGCAGGTTGCTACCACAATAGTAAGCTGGTATCATCCTTGCGAGAGCTCGGACATCGCCAGGGAATCGAACTTGTGAGGTACGATTATTAAGCCGCAGGCTGGAGAAGATATGTGTGACCGGCTTTGTCCGTTAAAAGCGTCAATCAGGAGATACTGCAACGAAGGCCATGATGTTGTTTCTGCCAAAAACATGCATACCGTATTGAAAGAGAGGCCGGTTAGGGGTATGACGGCTTCAGTATGCATAGTCCAGGAACAGAACTCGCCTCTTGAAATTAACAAGATTGCCAATTTCCATAGCCTACACAACTTTGAGTTTACACAAGAGGGTCTGCGCGTGTGGAGAGTGTATAATATTGGAACTGGGAAGAATAAAATTGTAATTTGTCCACAGAAAAACACGGATCTCGTGGAGGAGATTCTATTCTTCCCCACTACTGCTCGACGATTTGCATCAGTAGGAGAAAGCAAAGGTGATGGTGATGATGGCAACGGTAGTTCCTCACGGCAATGCCCTGAGCCTGGTTGCGATGAAGATTTAAGACCCAGGCCGACTTTGACCAACATATGAACTTGCTAATGGTATAAGATGCTGATGAGAAATGATTTTATAGCATATGACTCCCTTTGATTCTATGCATGTTTTTCAAATATTTCTCCCATAAGGCACTCCTCTCCATAATTCGTTTTTAGCCTCTACTCTTTTCTATTTATCTCATCAAGACGCGTCTTACTCTGATTAGCTCAGGCTAAAAGGTTCGTTGTGATGTACTATAGTGTTTTACGTTTAATAAAATGTACATTATGTGAAGCGCGGGGGAAACAATTTGAGCAAGAAGCGAGTTTAGGTGGCGCGCGGGCTGAGCACTTGAGTGGGTGGAGAGAGATGGATGCATTGAAGCAAAGTTATATGGACTGTTCCGCGAACTTTCTGACAGAAAACGAGCGAGAGAGCCGGCGAATGACAGAGGGGTTCTTGCGGTTGTCAGGGGAACACCCGAAGAATGACCACTTCTGTTTTCTTTAGCTTCTTTTCCCTCCATTTCCAGCAACTGGGAACCTTGCACAGTCAAATGAGGATCCGTACTCCTCTTGCACTACGGTACCTTCAAGGTATTTTAAAAATAGTGAAAAACGAAGAAAAAGATTGACAATACACGACCAGCTTGTTTATTCTTATCATGGTGAAACAAAGGAACAACAACTTTTATGAGTAAAAATTTACTTTCTTGCTTTGCTATTCAAGAAAACGTAGAATTGGTCATGAGCATTCGAATACGCTCCTTGTTCACACAGCATTAAAAGTAAGTTTCCTTTTCTTCAAGTTATTGACTTCGTCTTAATCGTTTATATAACTCACAACAATCTTTTCTAGTGCAGCCTTTCGGACGAAACAAAGAAAAAATGTTTTCTTCTAGATAACGATCATTGTTCTCTTACTTCGACACTATCCCTATGAATTTGGTGTTTACCGAACAAAACAAAAAGCTACTCCTTTCTCTTTGTTATACCTCACTTGCCGTTTTATCTTCAATATCCACGTAGCTTTGTCTATCAGTCTTTTTAAGGATAAAACGATGAACTACATGCAAGGCCAGTTACACTCATATTACGAAAAAATGTACAGACTTGAACTACGCCGACATCAGCCTGGTCACCAGCTGTATTAAGATTTCTTACGCAGCGCTTGATCGAACCGTGACGAATAGCATTGAGTGACAAGCGTGGAACCTCTGCAAGTCGGCAACTAAAGTTCTGGTTTCTACCGGGAATTTTCAGGCTATATTACTGCAGCAAAACGACATCGGCGACAAAAAACTCTAGCTACCAAATTAGACAAATAAAAAAATTACATAAGCTAGTAGTTACACTTCTAGAATCTGCAGCTGGATGAGTTATCTGGTAAAGGTTTTCAGTAATATACAGCTCCGGACAGGAACAGAGCTGTCAACACGAAAAAGATAGAACCAATCAAGTAGGGCATATTCTGCTTGGTTCCTGAGGTTGGGCATTCATTCAACGCCTTGAGGTCTTTCAAATAGCTGTCTCCAAGGAACTCCTCATAGGTCTTTTTACTGACGTCTATAAGCTTGATCGTGGAATCTTTGAAAAGAAGATCTTTACCGTTCCACTTGCCTGAGTCAAACATCCTGAACCCAGACCCGGTGTCGTTTCCATACGCATTCGATGCTTTTATCAAGATGCTAGCGTAGTTTGCTCTGTTACTGCTTCCTTTCTTCGTCATTACAGCGTGAGAAGGAACTTTAGCTAAGTTGCACTTAACGTGATCACCAATTGCTGAAAAAAATTAAAGAAAAGGAAAAAAATTTTTAACAGTTATAACATGTACCAAGAGTTTCCAGGTAGTGTCAGCGGTTACACAATGACGTGCCGAACAGGTACAATGATCATGCACATCTTTGCGAAAATGTTAGTCATATATTTCAAGTTGCTGTGTTGAGTGTATCAAAATCAATGCGGAGGATAGAAAGTAGTGTACAGACAAACTAAGCCTTTGGGAGGCAGAAAGCTGAGTTCTACGCTCATCGGGCTAAAGTAAAAACAAAAAACAAAAACAGTTTTGAGGCGGAATCTCTGAAACTGAGCTAGCCTGGATGAAAGAGCTTATATAAAGAAGCCATCAGTGATGATAGTTCCATTGGCTATTATGACGCAATGACACCGATGACCAACACCAGGAGATAAAAAAGAATCATACCGGCCCACATTACCAGTAAATATAATCACTTGCTTCATTTGGTTTTAAGGCTTACATTATCGGAAAATTTAAAAACTGGAACGATATTATGATGTATAACTAGGGAAGGGCCGCCAAATTTGGTTTCAACTGTTGAAAATTTTGAGAAACAAAGTACTCGAGAAATATTAATTCTAGTGGAAGCAGAACGAAGGAACAAAGAATTACTAATCTGATTTAAAAAGAATTCATACCACCAGTCCCTCCGTCCTTGCACAGGTACAAGTAATCACTGGAGTTTGCCGGCACGGTTGTATGTTTTACAAATGCCACTTCACCCACATCATCCACCAAGCACTTGAAGGCGCCACTGTAACCAGAGTACTTTCCCTTATTAGTCCTGCATTCGTCTTCGCATAGCGCGCACAGTTTGTCGGGATTTTTACCATCTTTATCAATATCGGGGTTCTTAACACCTAGGGTTAAAAAGTAAAATTATGAAAGTAGTGAAATTCAAAAGCAAAGCAACCGAAATCAGTTTATATATTATATATTATGTATATATATATATATATATATTATTTTTTTTTTTTTATCGGTTGTAGGTTAAGGTAAAGTCAGTATTTCAGCCAAGTGGCCCATTCAGCTCAAATCCCTTAGCATAAGTTGGGCCACTCCAAGTCCCTTCACATAAAGGGATTTGAAGTAGGTCTGTCTTAATTGTGCTCGTTAAGTCGGGGACTGGGGCACACATTACGCTATTATGTAATCGTTGACTACGGAAATATGTCAAATAACCGGAAAGAGCGCTCTCAATTAGTTTCCAATCCGAAAAAACGTGATTTAAGTTAGCCTTTGACTGTGATCGTACGAAGACCTTGTGAAACCTGTGACTGTTCATTAAAGTTATAAAATCGAATCTGTGACCTTCCGTGGATACTGACTCCAGTGGCTGGAGAAATCCAGGATAATTAAATGCTGGAAAGAGTCGCTCACTAGAATGGCAAAAAGTTGCTAAAAAATTGCTAAAGATACAAAAAGTTACTACCTAATATTCAAAAGTTGCTACCTAAATTTCATGATATTTTTATATATAAACGTTAATTAAAGGCCTTCTTTTTTCGTTATTTGCAATAATTGCTAACATCGGTCAAGAATAATAATTTGAAACTTAGCTTTAAAGAGTTGCTCGAAAACATGAGCGACACCTAAGTCGGAACAAAACTCAAGGTTCATTTGACGTCCTGCCGAACGTCATTTTTTGCCAATTATCTGTGATACGAAACGTTGGGCTTATCATTTGAGAAATACCGAAAACAAAAAAGTTCTTACTAGTTCTTCCACAACCTCGAATTGATTATCTCAAGGGAAATTTTTCGTATATAGCGGAGCTTAGCCGTGGAACAACTTACCTATAGACCTAAAGCAAGCACCCTCGTTGACCGATTTCCAATCTAAATTGAATCGCCACGATTTTAAGTAATATTTTGAGTTTAAGTAAATTTTTAGACACGGCCCCTATGAAAAGCAGTTTCTATGTTTGAAATATTTTTATCATTTTTATTGTAAATAGGTCAATAGTCTGGTATCTTAATTGACTGATGGAAACACCGTGTATGAACAAAGTTATCGTAACGTATCCTATCGTAATATAATTATGTGATCAGGGGTAAACAGCGGAAAAATCCCAAGTGGTCCTGGCTAGGGTGGTTTTGCGCATCGCATTTGATTGGTGGACTAAGTAGTGAGAGTTTTCGTAACCAATCAGAGAGCTAACTAAAACGAACAGTGGCGAAGATGTCAGAGACACAATGCAACCTCGTTCCCAGGGTCCTCTTTCTTCCTCCCTCGAGAGAGG